ATCAAAACTAGCGCTGCTTTCGGCGATACTCACGAGTGAATTGCGAAGCGCCGGACCCCAAGAGCTGAGATCCCAATTGAGAACTGTGTCCACTCGAGCCCTGCGCTCGGGCTCTCGCGGATAGAGCGGCGAATCGGGAGCGTATTTGTTGCACAGGTATTGAGCGATGGCTCGAGACTCCCAAACAGACACTCCGTTGTCGACAAGAGTGGGAATCGAGTGCCGAGGATTGAGCTGAAGAACGGATCAAATGAAATAATGTTTGGATAATTAAATAGAGATTTACTTTAAGAAAGTCTGGTTTGAGATGCGCTTTGTTTCTCATGTCGAGTTCCACTTCTTCGAGCTCTACGTTCAGAAGTTTGGCCACAAAGAGGACAGTACGACACGGAGGGCTTCTTCGGCTCAAGTACAGAGTGGGCGCCATGTTTTGCGATAATTGAATTGAGATTACAATTAATTAAATTCGAGAAACACCTGGTTTTGAATGAAATATTTTTACACAAGTTTTACTCAATTTATACTTTATTTCTGAGAATTTGTTATCAAAAAAGATAACATTAATTGACATAAATATCAGAAATGTTGAATCGTTTCAAAAACAATTTATTGTTTATTATTAATAGAATTAAGATTAAAATATAAAGTTTTTAACGAAAAGTACAAAAAAAACAATTTCATTATTAAAAGAGTGCATTAAGTATTCTGAGAACAAACACTGAATTAATAATCAATTATTATAATCAAAACTATTAAAATATATTGAATTCTAACTAAAGTACAAAAACTAAAACCAGATTTTCATTTCCGAAATTCTTCTCCAAATTCAATGTTTGTTGTCTTTTATGACAACAATTTTGTCGATTGTTTTTCCTTTCTATTGGCAAACAACAGTATGAATAGACGACAACCCCTTTACCACCCGTTCCCCAAATACCTGGTCGTCGGACACCTGTTCCATAGAGATGTGTGTCTTGTTATGGATTGTCATTCTTGTGAAGCCGTAATCAGACGACCGAAAGGCAGACCATTTGGGTTTCACAATGAACTTCGAGTGCTTTTCAGAACAGCCCTGAAAAACAATGAATTAGACAATGAAAACGCGTTCAATACTCACAGCACTTCCGGTCACAAAAGCGACGGACGCTTTGGGATTGACGTAAGGATGAGATTGCGAGCCATTCATGATCTCGTTGTCATAAAGCGGTAGAAGGCGTTGATAGTTGTGTTCGTGTCCGTACAACTGGATGTCCACATTGTACTTGTGGAACAGCTCTTCGAGACCGTACTTCGCGTTTCCCGCGTTCTTGATCTTAATGCCGGTGCGAAGACGCTTCCTCTGCAGCGACGACGAGTGGTGATCGCCAATGGGTGAGCACTCGTGAGCGTCTGTCTGGCAGTAGAGAGGTCTGTGGGCGACGACAATGATCCATGGGCGTTTGTGTCGCGCTTCGGGCGCAGCGGCCGCTCGCAGGTCCGCTTCAAGCCACCGGAATTGGCGCCCGATTTGATACCAACCGAATTCCGTGAAATAGTAGAACTCGGTGGACAGCGAGACGAAGTGAGCAGGGCCAATGTTGAACGAGTAGTAATGGTTGTTCACGTGACCACTGGTCGTGTCCACCATTGAGAAGCGGTTGTCGTAATTCGAGAAATTGCTGTCAAAGAGAGAGATATGAAGCGAACAGAAGCGGAAGAAGAAGACAATCGCGGCTCACTATTTGTTCTCGTGATTCCCGGGACACACTTGATAGGGAACGACGGCTGCGATCGGTTCGATGAGTCGCATGAATTGGTCGCCGACGCGCGCGTTGTCCTGAAAAGTGCGATCACGTGTTAGCTGTAAGTATTAGTGTTGTTGTATACCGAGTCCATATCGTAGGCGAAGTCGCCGACATGAATGATGGCGTCGTATCGGTGGCGCCGGACGTCCTGTTCGAGTCGGGGAAAGGACTGCGCGTTGACGGCTCCCATATCGCCGAAAACGGCCAAACGTGGACTCCATTCGGTGCCGGCCTTTAATGTGGAGAACGTGAACACAGAACTCCATCCCTCGTCGCTTCCGCAGTGATACTCTGGAATACAGTGGACAGTGAGTGGACAGCACAGGGAGGACACGATACATACGGTATTTGTGGCCCGCTTTCAGATCTTTGACTTTAACTCTATGGTTAAAGAAATGCCGTTTTTCGGGTCCGCCGTCAACGAAACGATAGCTCTTTCCGAACGCTTTCATCGACAGATCTGTTTCCCCGTATTCTACGCACGGCTTTCCCGAAATGTGGTGTTCGGTAACCCACGTGACCACCATTTCCGTCGGGTCAGCTGAAAAACAAAAGTGTGGTCACGAATGAAGGGCTGGTGAAGAGCTAACCTCCGAGTGAGATGTGGACCTGTTGTGGTCTTTCAGTGCCGAAGACCGTCGATGAGAACCAAAGAGATGATAATATGAACACAAAGTGTGGTTTAAAAGACATTTTCTTTCTTTTAGTCAAAAGTTTTACGAAAATAAAGAGTTTTGTCAAAAAATATTTGAATTTTATTGAAATTCTCGATAAAAATCAGAAATGCTTTTCGATTACAAGTTTTGAGTGTTTTTCTAGTGTTTAGACAAACAATTGATTTCCCAATCGATGAATACTTTTTGTTTTATTTCATTTTCTTCTATTTTGAGACAAAAATACATTTATTTCTATTAAAAACACGATTTTTTTACAAATAAAAAACTTATTTCAGAAAAAGAATCAAAAAATTATTGGTTTTTGTATTCAAAAGACGTTTCGTTGAAATGTTTTGTTATTTTGAAACTCGTTTTTATCGCCAGAAAATTAGTGTTTAATTATTTGATTAAACGTTTGAATGGTTTAACAAATGTTCACAAAAATAGTGATAAATGAATACAAAAATCGATTTCTTTTGTCATTTCATGAGAAAATCGATACAAAAGAGAAGTAAAAGAGAAATAATGAAAAGAATGAATGAAATGAATGAATAAATTGAAAAATTGATTTTTCATTCATTAAAACACAAAACTTGAAAAATTATCAGTTAAGTCAGGATATTGCGGACCACGGGGGTAAAGGGGGTAAAGGGGTGAAAGGGGGTCAAACTCTTTGGTCTATAATATCTAGGAATAAATGTATTTTTATTCATTTCTTGAATTAGTTTTAATTCAATTGAAAATTAACACATTCTCACTCTTGGCTCTCAAATCATACTTCAATAAATTGCAAAAAGCCATAAATCAAAGTGAAAACATATTTAAGTCTTTTTAAATTAATTATAACTAAATATGTCAAAAATATTACACATATTTACGGATCTTCATTAAGACTAAAATTAAAAATATAATTTAAAACTCAAAATTGTAATTAATTAAAAACGTAATTAAGTTTTTAACTCAAAATTAAAACAAATAAAAAATACATATTTTGTTGTAATTATACTTTAATATTGAATCTCTTAATTATCTCGTTTTCCGGGCGCAAAGTCGTCAACACTTCTGCCAACACAAGTGGAGTCGCATTTTCCGCCGCGAATCAAAAGCAAAGCCAAGCCGTCGGGAAAGGAGTCGACGCGCGTCACTCCCGACGACGAATTGCACGACCCTTTGGCCACCGGCTCGATGTCCTCCACGAACAGCAGACTTCCATCGCATTCCCCGCCGTCTATTGTTCCAAATTTGTTGGCAATAACTGATCCTTCGGTTGGAAAACAAAGAGTTTTAATCTCAGAAATAAGAGAATATTTTGAGAACCGTTTCTATCGATGAGTGAATTGTAATGCTTTCGCGTGAAGAGAGGAACAGACGCTCTGTTCAACGACAGGCCGTAGAGAACATCGGTTTCCGGCTTTTGGACACGGATTTCGTTACACCGAAAGCTCTCGTCTTCCGGTTTGCGCTCTTTTCGTACTTTCATTACGGAATCGAAGTGCGAGTCAATGCACGCGAAGACATGTCTTCCGTTCGTGTTTTGAACACTGCTCTCATCTGAAGAAGAAGAAAGTGATGACAAGAGAGACAAGAGATGACACATTCTTACCGTTTGTTTGGATTAACGAAAAGTCAGAGAATACGACAATTGAAATAAAAAACAAAACATTTTTAGACATTTTGTGTTGAAATAAAGTTTTGAAAAATAAAAACACATTTTTACAGATATTTCTCCAGATTTTCGAGAGTTTAATGACTTTTTTATTAATAATTTATTAAAATTTGATTAAATTCTATACAAATCTTGTCTACAGTTCATAATTGCGTGCATTTATTGTTAAAAACTATTTTCAAAATAAAACAACATTTTAATGACTAGTGTTTCAAATATTGTGATTTTCTCGCGTTTTATCGACAAAATTATTGCACTTTTTGAGCATTTGTTTCGTCGAAAAACGCTTTTATTTCGGAAATACTTTTCACAAAAAATGAGTTCAAAATTCGCGGTTATATTAAGTGTCACGTGACTGTCGGGTCATAAGTCGGGAAAACGGTTCGAGTCTTCGGTGAAGTCGTTTGGGATTTCGAACAGAGTTTCGGGAATATTGTCGTCCAATTGGAAGGACAGGAATGTTATGCGCGCCGTAACTGTCGGCAGAATCGGGATGTCTTTCAACGCAAGAGTTCATGGATTAGCTGTGAATACAAAGAGATTTTGAACACAAATTACCGATTTTGACGGGGAATCCGGGCGGGAGTTTCATCTGGACAAACTCGCGCAGTTTGTTGAAGTGCTTGAACGGCGCGATCACTTCCAACACGTTCAACAGCGAGTCCACAGTCATCGGGAACTCTTCGCTCTGCAGAATGAAAGAGATCGTGAAATGGACACAAAATGGCGACAACACGAACCATAGCGAGCGTCGCTTTGAACGCTTTCACCGTTTCTTTACAAATGAGTTGTCGGCCGAGCGGCGGGTGTTGTCCAGAGGGCGCGTTCACGTACTCGTCCCACGTGACTGTTGTGGGCGGAGGCGGAGTCAGGGATTTGCGTCTTTGAACCGCGCTATTGGTCTCCCCATTGGCCACAATCTCGTCGCCAGAGGAGGCGCCGCCGCCGCCATTGGCGCCCCCTTTCGTCAAACTCTCGATAATGGCTTTGTTTTTCTGCAAGTCTTCGTCCGTCAAGTGTTCCCTTCGTTTGCGGCTCTCGAGACATAAACCGCCGATTAAGTAGAAGTCGGCCATAAAAGTGCCGACCATTTCGGACCTGTCCTCGCGCCACAGCCAACCCGACTGCGCGCGACTGAACGTAATGGATTTGGTGGACATCTGGGCGTTGACAATGTCCGACGACATCAACAGATCCACTTCGTCCTCCACTTCCTGTTCCGACTCTTCGTAACGAACCCTTTGATAGACTTTGAGTTTGTTGTCGACGACTGTCAGCGACTGCGAGGGCTTCGAGTCGCCGCTGAAGAGGAACGTGATGTCTCCCCTCTCCCACTTCATGTCCGAGAAGTCCACGAGCGTTGTGTCCAACCGAATGGCCGAACCCTTCTTGTGGATGCGGCAGATGTCCGACGGGAGGATTCGCGACACCAGCGGAACTGCGAGACACAAGAGTGGTCAGCAATGAGTGACCAAAGAGTGGACACTAAGACTGACCCCAAGACTGGAAATCCCACTTCAACTCCATCCTGAAGTTCTGCATTGTGTTGAGCGCGCGGATCAGGTTAGGTCTGCGGCACTCCATCGTCTCGCGCGACTGCTTCTTCAGTTTCCGCAAAAGCGACGCGACTATTGGCGGGAAAGAAAGCACGCGTTAGTCACGTGATGGTCGGCGGCGGTCACTGACTGGTCTGGCGATCGCCGTAACTGATGGCTTCGGCCAGCGGTGACCATCCGGAGTGGTTCTTGCACTTGACGGGCGCCGAGTGCGCCAACAAGAGCTGAATCACTTCCTTGTGGCCCAACATCACCGCCAGATGGAGCGCAGAGTTGCCTACGAATGATACAACGGGTGGTCAGCGAGTGGTCAGTGAATGGACACAAACCGTGAGTGTCTTTGAGTTGAATGTCATAATTGCGTAATAAATGCGAAATGCGTTTCAAATCCGCGTCGAAGACCGCTCTGTGGAGTGAGTACTTCCGGTCCAACGCCTCCCTGTCCTCTGCGGCCATCGAGTGGTCGTCGGCGGCCATCCGTTGACCCGAAAGCGGTGTCCAATCGGCGGAAGAGCTCTTCGTTGACATCTTTTGGCTCTCAATAGCTCTTCCACTGCGCAGACGTCACCAAAACAGTTATGAGTCATTAGTGTAGAGGTGTTTGCGGTGTAGACACACACAGAGTGTAGAGGTGTTGACGGCAGCGACGCCTCGTTATAGGAGGCGAAAAGGGGGTCAATAAGGGAGGCGTTTGTTGTCATTGTTTTTTAGATGATTTTTGTGATTACTTTCTGTGTTTTTTGTTGTTTTGTTTGACAGAAATGTTGTGTTTTTCTAATCAAAATCAATTCAATTGTAGTTTTGTTTTCAACCGTAAAACACATACCTTTTGATGTATAGTAAGCCTCGCATTGCGTGTAGAAAATGGTACCAAAAGTGTTGAACGCATTTATCGTTCGTAAAGTGAATTTGAATTGAGTTTTGAATGAATTTCACTTTTGTTTAAAACTTTTTGATTAAAAGCAATGAAAAAAGGATTGAAAAATAATTGACACGAAATTGTGATCAAAACCAAAACACGTTTCGACTCAACATTGAGTTCGTGTCCACTGTTTCGCACATTTGGCCAAAACTTTGTTCACATTTATAGATGAGAGGGGAGAGAGAGGGGGAGAGAGAGGGGGAGTCAGGAGAGGGTTTGCGTTGAAAACACATTGAGTGGTGTTTTGGCGATAAAGCGTTTTGCGATAACGACTACTGAATAGAGCACTCATTGATGGCATTCATTGATGAATAAAGAAATTAAAGATAAAATCCTCGAAACGAGAGATAAAAGCGTGAAATGAGAGCAAAGTTTGTGACAAAAAGTGTTTCACTTTTTCTGTGAAAAGAAATGATTGAAAAATAATATTATTTTCGCGAAAAACCATTCATTCATCGAATCATGAATTTTGAGTCCTTTGTAACGACTTTCCTCTCACTTCTGGCCATTTGTTGCGGCGTTTCGGCCGAAGACGAGCCGAAAGTGAGTGAATTGTTTTCGTTCGAGAAGTTGGCTCAATATTCAAGTCTTGTAAGTATTCAACACTTCATAACACATTGAGTTAACTCTGGATTAACACGTGTTTCCCTTCAGGCGTCGTGTTTCGCGCTAATCCACGAGGACTTCGCGTACTGTAACCAAAAGGCCGAAGAGAAGGGCCGCAAATACCTGGAGGGCGTCGACCCGGACTCGGAGTGGGCGCGTCGTGTCAAGTGTTGCGGCACTTGGAAGCTGCGGGACTGTTGGGTGAAGTTCGCGAGAGACAAGTGCGACGCCAAGCAGGCGGAACAGGTCTATGGTCTGCCCTACACCTTCATGAAGAGGCTGGACGTGTCGTGTCGTGACTATCCCGACGGCAGCGACAAATGCCGTTTCCCCGTTTGGCTCATTGTGACCATTGTGTTGGTCGGAGTGGCGCTGTTGGCCGCCGGCGTCTTCTGCGGCGTCCGCTTCTATCGCCGCCGCAAAGAGCGTCTCATTCGACAACAGCTGCAGTCGAGAGCGGCTCAGGAGGAAAGGGAGACGTTGAAGCCGTCGCCCGTTTGATCGCAGTTTGTTTTAGACGTGTGTAAAAGTGCCATAAGTTTTGACTTTATTTTTGCTCAAAATTTCATTACTTTTTAGACTTATTTTTGTAAAAATATTTAATATTTTAACGACTTTTTCATAAATGAATATATTTTTAATAAAACTCACATTTAATGAGATTTTTAACAATTTGTGATTTTATAAACACTTCTCAAGAGATTAACAATTAATCCATTCATTAAACAAGTATTCAATTAATTCATTGTTGTTTAACTCATATTTACTTCACTTTCTAATGTTTTTACTTTTTTCTGAATCATGTCCACAATAATGTCCACATTTTGTGACATTTAACATATTTAAGTGATTTTTCACATAAAAAATAACAATTATAATTAAAAATTCATTTTATTTATCATAAAATTTGTATAAAATATAAAACAAACAAAAATTAAACTCTTTTGTAAACTCGAACTGAAGTCACGTTATTTGCGATCGAAGTCTGAAAGAGAGAAACGATTACAAAATGAAACACAAAAGTTTGAAGACATTATTACGGCTTTCAAAGAGTCGCCGTCGAACTCCCGAATGTAAGTGACTTCCTTCGCGCCGTCCAATTGCTTTTGGATCAGTTTATTGCCCTCTTGTGTGAAAGTGGACTGAAGAGGAATAGAGATGTATTAATACGGCAGAGATTGACACAGAAATGGAGACAAACCTTGACTTTCTTGCCGTCGAGTCTCTCCTCTTCGAACTCCACTCCGAGCGTGAATTTGGTGACCGAAGTCTTGATCGCGGAAACGCTTTTGAACGTGAAGTCGTTTCCCTCGCGAGTGATCTCCAGTGTCGGCGACGAAGAGTTGGCCATTTTGCGCATCACAAAGTTCACGCCTGGGGGAGAGAGCAGCACAGGTCAGCACAGGCACACACAGTGCACACCAAAGCAATACACACCCAACTCCTTGAGGAAGTTGTCGAAGTTGTCGGACGACTCGAGTTTGTATTTTCCCGTGAATTCAGACATCGCTGTTCTGGAAATGCAATTTTGAGACTTCTTTCAAAGAGTTCTTCAATTGATTCGTGAATTGAGCGAAGATTTCGTCGCTTTTTATCACAAATTCGCGAACAGTTTATCGCTTTTGAATACAAAGTCTAAAGTTTTAAATACTTTTGTTTCTACTTTTGAACGCATTATTGTTGAGAGAATTGAAGTTTGAATTCAGACTTTGGTTTCGCTTTTGAGTGCTTTTCGTTCAAAATCTCTCCAAAATTAAAGCTTTAATTACGAGATAATTACGAAATTTTCTGTCATTTGTTTGGGTTTTTGTAATTGAAGGAAAATTGTGCTAAAAGTGAAATTTGTTTGGATTTTAATTGAAATCTGAATTAATGTTAAAATGGTTTCCATTTTTGCGATAATTTTGTCAAAAATACGCAAAACTTTATTTACGATAAAAAAAATTTCAATCAATTTTGTGATAAATAGAGATTTAAAACACAATTAAAAAACGTTTTGTCATTAAAAACCTGTTTTGCATTCAAATGACACAACAATTCATGTTTTGGTGGAAATATTGTTATTTTATGCAAAAAATCGCAAATCATTGGAAATAAAACACATTTTCACTGATTTTGTTATTTTCACAAAAAGTTGTGTTTTTGAGAAGACTTTCCAAAAACTGTGTTTCGATTTTCGACTCATTTTGAGTCCATTTTTGAAACACTTTTAACGAGATTTGAATTGATTTAATAAAAGAGACAATTATTGATAAATAACTGTTGAATCACTTTTGAATTACATTTGCGATAAAAGAAAACACTTATTGTTAAAGAGATAAAGAGTTAAAAGCGATAAAACGAGACAAACCTCAGAGTTTCGGCGAAAATACGAAACATTTTTGATTTTTAATCCAAAACAACGAATAAATTGAAGAGAAATGAGAAATAAATGGAAATTGAAAAACGAGAGGAAATTTAGGCCAAAAATCGTCGCTTTTGTGACGTATTCTCCGTTTTGTGTATTTTTCTGTCAAATTGGAGGTCATTTTCATCAAAACTTTTTCATTCATTTATTTATTCAATAAATAATCGTTTATTCAAACATTCACTTCAAAAACGAGAAAATCAATACAATTCGCAAAATGCGTAACTTTTGTACAAAATTAAGGATTTTTTGACCGAAAAAACGCCTCCAAAATATTTGAGATTAATTTTTGAGAGAAAAACACTGTTTTATCAAAAACGAAATAAAATGATTGCTTTTTTATACATTTATTGTTTTATGAATAATAGAGATAGAGAAAAGATTCCCACAAAACAGAAGTGGAGTTTCGGATAAGAGGCAAAACATTCCTTTAATTATCTCTTCTTTTGTCCGAAAAAAGCGTGTTTTAAACAGTAATCCAATTGTTATCTCATTATTACAAGTGTTTTACAAAACGATTACCGAAAAAATCAAACAAAAAAATCGATAAAAAGATGAATGAAAAGAAAAGTCTTTCATTTTGAGACAAAAACGAGAAAAATGCGTAAATTTTCACTAATTTTAGTAATTTTTTCCACAATTTCTTCAATAAATTCAACAATTCGTGAGTTTTTGTCCCAAAAATATGCGTTTTTTTAGAATCTTTCAATTCTTAGACAACAACTCTCTGAAGGCTTCGAAACGAGATATTCAGATAAATATCGACGAAAAAGACTTTTTCGAGATTTCTATTGAAAAGTGAGACAAAAGTCGAGAAAAGAAATGGTTTTAAAAGTGTTTTGTTTCCAGAAAAGACTTAAATCTTTCGCTCAACGTTTCCGTCGCGTGTGATTCGCAGAAATGCAAAACCATTGCTTTCGAGAAACAAACGGTTCGTTTTGCGCCCAATTCCACGACTTTTCGGTTCGAGATTTCGGCCAAAAACGCCGGCCATGACGTCATTGTGGCCACGATTGCCGACAACAACACAAACGTCGAGTAAATGAACACAAATGCGAAACTCTGAACTAATTATTAGTATTCATTAGTGACTCGGACTCCTTCGTGCGCATCCGCGTGGGAAGAGCGCAGGCGTTGGCCACTCTGGCCGAAGTGGTGGGCTGGATCTACTTCGTGATCTGGTCGGCCAGCTTCTGGCCGCAGAACATCTCCAACTTCCGGCGCAAGTCAGTGATCGGCTACAACCTGGACTTCGCCGCTCTCAACGTCACGGGCTTTCTCTTCTACTCGATCTACAATTCGGGCATTTATTTCTCGCTTCGCATCCAAAGCCAATACGAGGCGACGTTCCCGCGTCGACTTGCGCTTGTAGTTGAACCACGCCTGCGGGATGTACTTGGTCATCGTCACCACGAGTTTCACGTACGAGAAGTAGTACATGAACGTCAGCCACGGCATCACTCCTGTCAGACACAGCA